GTGATTAAAGCATTTCTTTTCAAAAGTTTTAGTCTGTAATTCTAAACTACTTCCTGTGGAATCGATATCTAGGACTCCATTAGAGCCCTATATTACTTGAGCGATACGTATACTTGCATTGATAAGTGTGACTTTACAATTATTGAATATTTAATATGTCCATATTTATCTTATACTTTATTGCATATATAAAGTCGCTGTCACCAAGCAATCCTATAAAAACTCCCCTTGAGTTGCGTCATATTGACCCCACCTACTAAGTGCTAGAGGTTAGGATCAGTATGTGGAACTTCAAGTTGAGCAAAGAAGAAGAAGAGTTTAGATTTTCTAATGTGGTGAGGGTTCCATTTCTAGTCCTCTAAGAATAGTCAACAGGAAAGTCTTATGGCTAGACACTAGGCTATTAAAGAGGAAATACTAGACCTCAATCAAAAGTCCTCAACTAAAATTAAGGTCAACAAAAAGTGATGAGATTTTAACTTTAAGAGAAGGATAGTGAAATTTAAAATAACCTGACACACAGATGCCCGATCAACTGATTTGATTACGCGGTGCACACACACTGTTATATATATATCTGTGTGTTTGTGTGTGTGATACAGGACTGAAAATGATCATAAATCAAAAATAAAAGAAAAAGAAAAGTAGAAGAAATAAAATGTGGGGAGAAGTTTGAGGAGAAGCCTAATAAAAAATTTGTTTCACTTGAACTTTCTTAAAGAAGAAAAGTTAGATATAATCTTAAGCTTGATTTTATTTCATAACTGTATTATTTAAATCCTTACTACTAGAGTGCTTGAAACTTTGTCTTTAATATTTTCTAGGAATCCCAAATTTGACAAATTTCAATTTGATTTTGAAGTAAATAAAAAATCAAAATTCCTTAGTTGAATACAAGATATTCTAATACCTTTGTCCTAGACCTGTTTTTTGAAATTTCCCCTAGATTACACTGTGACATTCCTAAAGAAAAATTGTAGGAAATTCTAAAGAAAAACATTACCTTTAATCAACAATTAAGTTTATAAATTTGTAGTACTACTTGATGATACATAATGTTTAAGTTTGAAAAATTTTTGACATGTTCTATAGCATGTTAATTTTTTCTTTTTATTTAATATTTATTTTTGAAGATATTACGCTTCAAAGGAAGGTATTTCTATATTTTTGTTGCAAGTAAACTAGGTAAAGCAATTGGAGTGAAAACAGAGCGAAGTGGACATGATTGCATCAATAGAGATTAGCACTGAACTCGCTCCTAGGCACCAGCATTTGGCCCCTAGGCACCACTCCATGGTGCAATGATGCCATATAAGCATGCTCATACGATGAAATTTGTCAAATATCTCGAGAAGATGGCACCCTGGTGCAACAAACTGGAACTTAGGCGCTAGTGTTTTTCCCAGCCAACCCGAGCAAGTGGTGCCAAGGTGCCAGAGACTAGCGCTTAAGTGCCAAAACTACTATTGAGGTTTCTTTCAAGGGTTTTGCATGAATTTGGAGTTATTTCCTAGGGTAAATCAATTGGAGAGTAGGAGGAGAACATTTATGAAGTGGAGAGAAAGCCAGAGAGTGCAAGAAAAGAGTGGAGATCTAGGTTTTCATTTTTGTTTTATGTAATTTCTTTGAGAAATCAGAGTGAATTTGTGATGGAATTGTTGTAGCAGTGCAACGAGGTCTTGGAGATCATCCAGAGTGGAGTTTCCGGTTTGTTCTCAGGGGGGACGATAAGTATTGTGTTGCACATTATCTTGTATTAAGTAATTTCATATTGTATGACTTTACTTTATTATAATAAGATGTGTTATTACATTTTCTTCATGTACTCTTCATGTAATCTGAGTAAACCATTACTCCTTTCTCTTGTGATGAAATAGTAGTATTTGTTGGATATGGATTCAATTAGAATGAATTTTATTTCATGCTTGTGAAGGTTTTTTACTTCAAGCTTCATTTACATTTCAATTTAAGCAATTATTGTGTTAAAATTTGTTCTAATTCCATTAACGGGGGGTAACTAGTAGGTTTCTAGGGTGACAAGCAAAGACACTTTCATAGTTAACTTGATTTTTGAATACATTTGGAAAAGGGTAAAAAAAATTAATGCTCCATTTGTCACAAAAATTCAACTAAAATTTCTAAGTGTTCTATACCTACAAAAATTAATAATTTCATTGCAAGGGGAAAGTCTTTTTAAATGCTTGAACTCTGTTACTTTATTTTACTTTATTATAATCAACTTTATAATAAATTTAGAAGATTAGTGATAGTTTGGTAGAATTTCCTAGCTCACACTAAAATCAAACTTATTCCCTAGCTAAGACTACTTAAATACAACTGACACTTTTCTTAAGTCTTTATAATTAACAGGGTTTAAGGAAAATCCAATATTACTTGAACGATACATGCACTTGCATAAAATACCTAGTATGTATAAACTATATTTAAGAAATGTCATATTTCATCCTAAACCATTAGGTACTCTGAAGGTCAGTCAACCACATACAAAGAACCTCAAGCATGGCTAAATGAACAAGCACCAAAAATCCAAAGATCACCACAAAGCACCAATCCAAATAAAAAAAAAACCACAAAAAAAGTCCAGCATTGAACTTAGATCTAATTTTTAAATTCCCTAATAAAATATGAAATTTCATAACGATATTAAAATCCTCACAACATAAGCACCATAAGAAATCAAACAGATTGGATTCATGGGAACCCGAAGCATTGCTAACAAGGTAAACCATAAAAAATCTAAAGATCACCACAAAGCACAAAACCACATAGTTGAGATTATAAAAATGAAAATCACAAAAAATTAGCAAACAAAAAACCACCAAAACCAAGCTAATAGATGAAACCAAACAACATAGCGCGCACAACCACACAGAGAAGAGAGAAAAGAGGTGAAGAGCGGAGAAAACAAGAAGAAGAGGGAATACCGCACATTCACCAAACCAAGCTGAAGAAGAAAAGGGAGAGGGGATGAGAGAATACACATTTCAATGAGATAACCACCAATAGAAATAACCACCAACCAAAGTACTACCTCCATCACACAAAGCACAGTGCACAAACCACCAAAATTTGAGCCGAAGGAAAGAGAAAGAGAGGGAAAGAAATTTAAGGGTCACAAGAATACCCACTCAAAACTTAAAATAGACACCAGAGCCACGGAACCATGAGAGGTATCTAAGAATCACAGGTGAGGGAGTGGGTTTGAGAGAGAGGGGTAATGCTAGAAGAGAGGCCACAGAGAAAATGTGCCCGCAGTCGAGAGAAGAGAAACGTGAGCCTCAGGGTCGAACCTGCGGACGCTTTTTAACAAAAAAATTTAACATCTTCGATGTGATGTGGCAACCAAATGACTCTTTTACGTTTTTAGGATGTGCCGCGTGAAAAAAAGATGTGCCAAATGAGCCCTTTGTATTCATTTTTTCAGCCAAGAGTCATTCGACCAACTAAATGATCTTTAGTCATCTTTTCTAAAAGGACTTATTGCGAAGACACATTGCCCTTGAGAAAGATTATTCCATCAGGAAGAGGGTGTATTACTGTTATCTGAGATGCAACATACATTCAATCAAAGTTTCTAAATTGATGGAACTCCCTCCGGACGATTGTTAATCTCTGTAATGGAAGTTGTTGACTGGGTAGGCATTGATGCGATCATACAATATTCGTTGGGTCGGTTAGTCACTCGTTTGGTCGGCTTTAAAGGCTATCTGGTATCATGAAAAATGTTCGTACATCAATCTTCTTCATTGGTCCACATATCTTCTCAAGATTTGTGCAGGCAAATTTTTTATGTACAATTAAAGAGGAGTGTTATCTCTAGTTCGTGAGATCTCCAATACATTTGACAATACAATAATCTACATATATTCTTATCAAAATTTACATATCTATTATATAGGCCATTTATTTAGTATTTAAATAAAAATCTAAACTTATTTATAGCACTAAGAAATTCTATAATTATGGGACCAAACTCACATGCAAGAAAGTACACCAACTTTTTATCGTCAATTGAAGTAAGAAAATAAATAAATAACTAAACAAAACAAAAAAATCTTTGAAGTGCGCTCTTCTTGTAGTTCTATTTAGTTCTCAGTATCCATTCATTGTTTATTTATTACCCAAGGTTTTGTCAAAACCTGTGGTGTGGCTTGAATTTCTTCACAGATGGTATTCTAATTAATTCTTTAGGATATTTATGACATTTATTGATGTCGCCTTGTGATTCATGTTGACTTCATAGATTTTTGCAGCAAAAGAAAAAATTATAAGATAAAAGTTGAGTTTTCAATAAATAAATGTCATTATGAAAAATTTAACATAAATTTTCAAGCTATTAATTCTGAATTGTGCCAATAAATGGCACAACCCGACGAACCAACTCAAATTTCACTAAAAATTTGGAGTTTACATTCGCCTTATTAAATTCAGGTCAGTTATGGGTCAATCATGCTGATCATATTATTATTGGGTTAAGATCGCATTGACCCGAAAGACTCGAAATTAACTTGATTTATATAAGGCTCAAGCTACATGAGCTAAAGTTGGATTAATTGGGTCAATCACTATTTAACTAGGTTAATTGGATCGTGTTGATCCAATAAATTGCATGATCTATAACATATATATGTTTTAACCCGGATTTTGACATATACAATAAACATGTCATATTCGAGTCCAACCTACTTGAGTCCGCTAAATTTAACATCATATCTATGTGCTACATATTAATAAAAATAGACACCCTGCACATATAATAGTAAAACGAACCACATCAATAATAAGTTTAGGTATATCCTTTTAATATATATTTTAGATGGACATTTTTCTTAAGAAGTACCCCAAAAAAAACTTAGAATCAGATGATCAAAGCCTTACAACCTCTTCGCGAAAGAAAAAGTAAAATTTTCGATTGTTCAATTTCCTCCCCATGCATTCTCTCTTCTAGTTAAATAAAGTGATGGGCCTCCCTTCATGCCCGCATAGTCAAGATGGGTTACCACTAATCATTAAATATGTTCATGTACAATGTAAATAAAATTATATGGACGTGGGACCCATGCCACTCATGCAAGGATAGGATTGAATCCCCACCATCCAATAATAGCCAAGTCAGAGACTCATCCTCCGAACCCCTCCCCTTCCCCAACTTCACTCCTACATAAACGCCTCCCCTCCAACCAACACTCATCGTCTTCTTCATCTCTTCTCCTTCCTTCCCATAATTGCTATAAAAAAGCACAATCCTTCATTCAATTAAGAATCTTTCGATACACAGATCGAGATAGTACCAATAAAACCTCATGGAGGAAGAGCAAGCATTGATACCTGGCCTCCCCGACGACATAGCCTTAGACTGCATCGCGAGAGTACCGCACCGCTTCCTCCCCGGTCTTCGACCAATCTGTCGCCGTTGGCGAGATCTAGTGACATCCCCATCTTTCCGCCACCATCGTGAGCGGATCGGCTCGGCAGAAGACCTGATCTTCCTGGTCCAAGCCCTTGGCGGCGGAGCAACCATAGCCGGCGACGCCAAGGATCCAATCAAGCCATCCATCGCCGCAGATCTCCGTCCTCCAGTGTACTCCCTATCCATCTACGTCGCCACAGACGGTTCATGGCACCGATTGTCTTTGCCGGAACCCATTCCGATGTTCGCCCAGTGCGTAGCTGTCGAAGGGAAGCTGGTCCTCGTCGGCGGATGGGATCCCGTGACTCTCGACCCCGTTCCAGATGTGCGGATTGTAGATCTGGTCACCGGGGAGTGGAGAATAGGCCGGCCCATGGCAACCGCGCGTTCGTTTTTCGCGTGCGCGGCTTTGGGCGGTAGGGTATACGTGGCCGGTGGGCATGACGGGTTAAAGAACGCGCTGCGGACTGCGGAGGTTTACGATGTGGAGGCGGACGAGTGGGCGGCGATACCGGCGATGGTGGAGGAGAGAGACGAAAGTCAGGGAGTAGTAATTGAGGGGAGATTCTGGGCAGTAAGTGGATACGGAACGGAGAGGCAGGGGAGGTTTACGGATTCGGCTGAGTGGTTTGATCCGGAAAAGGGGGTTTGGCGGAGTGAGGAAGGGGTGTGGTCGGAGGAAGGTGGATCGGCTGCGTGCTTTGCCGGAGGTGAGAGACTATGGTGCGTGGGGCGGAGAGGGGCGAAAGAATACAGGGGAGGGAGTGTGTGGAAGGAGGCAGTGCAGCCGCCGGAGGGGATGAAGGGGAGCACGTGCGCGGCGATGATGGGAGGCGGAAGGGTTTTCGTGATGGGGGCTGCCGGAGAAGGCGGAGGCGTTGCGGGATCGAGCGGCGGGTATTGTAGCTGGGTTCTGGAGATTGCGGGAGGGCAGTGGATAAGGACGGAGACGCCGGCGATCTTTTCAGGGTTCGCGTACTCCGCTGCCGCTGTCCGTATGTGAGTCTGGTCACCGACTAGGTAATCAGCGTCACCTCTAATTAAGATAATGAGGCGTTATTAGTTTAGTGCAATAATGTTATCCGTAGTGATGAAAGAGCCGATGACGGATATATGTACAGTTTTTGTATTAAAATATTATATTATATGGGTTATGTGTTGCTTCTAGTGTTGTTGCTTATGATGAGCGAGGATATCTATATATCTATATATATCTATATAAATTTTTAATATATATATATATACACACACATAAATAATTTTTTTTTCTCTCAGAATTTGGTATTGGATATGTGCCATAATTTATTTTTAGATTTGATATTAAAGTATAAATTTATTTTAAGATCTCTGCGATAAATAAAATTTTAATATTATTGTTGAATATTAAATGGTTGTGTGGATCACACTCAAGTTATAGAGCGTGAACGAGAGAAAGAAGGCGAGAACAAACAGTAACTTAAAATGAGTATATTGATCATCTTGACCTATTTGGCTAAGATCAGTGTCACCCTTATTGTCAGCATGGTCTCTTATTTATAGGCATGGTTAGCGTGACCCTTGAAATTACGGAGAAGTCTTTACTTGAATAGAGACTGTACAAGATATTATAAATATTTTTCTTCGGTGTGACTTAGAAATATCTTGAAGTCCTCAACCTAATATTCTGATTAGTATGGAAGAGATGGTCGATCTTGTCAACCGTTCATTTTGGACATAGAAATATCTTCAAGTTCTTTTTGACCGACGACCCGGTGTTGTTAGTCGGTCAACTTCAACGATGTCAGCTGGATGTAAATGGTGATGTCGGTTAGGGTATAGTTAATTCAGTCGCTTTGAAGATGTCAGTTGGATGTAGTTGGTCGGTTCTTTAACTCCTTGAGCCAGTTGACTTCAATTGGTGACTTTTGTTTGAGCTCTGCATAGATTACCTTTCTTAGGGGCTCTTCATGGCCCGTCACGTCTTCTGGATTTGTCGACTTACTTTTGAGAATCGTCTTAAAAGGCTTTTTGTGTACATATTTACTTGCATGATTTCAATATATTTTATCGGCTAGTGTGTACAATAGATAGGAGAATTTAGAATTTGATAAATATAGAATTTAGAATTTGATAAATAATTTACACACTAGAGGTACTACGCAAGTATATGTATTGTTTCAAGTAATATAAGATTTCTTTTAAAACCCTAATATCGATCCCATAGGGAAGGTGAAACTCTTTCTATCCCAAAACTTCTTTTATAGACTTAGTAAAACTTAACTTAAACTCAAGACAATAATCTAGGAAATATGATAGCAAGTATAGGTGTAGAACGAAGCTACTATATTCTATTTCAAAGCTAAAAGAAAATGCAAAGATTCTCAACAAGTTTTATGAAGAAAAGTTCAGATTATGTAAAAGTTTTTTTTTCCCTTGCAAAAATATCATAATCAATGTAGGAATCAAATGTTTAAAGGTTAAAATTTAATTTTTTGTCAAATAGGAGCATACCTACTATTTACCCTCTCTCGAGTGCATAAATAACATTGGTTAAGCTAAAGAAGTTCCTAAATCAGAGGTTATGTTGGATAGGTTATAGCTTCTCACCTCTAGATTACCCACTATGCCCTCTTTATATGACTAACCCGTCCTTAGGTTTCAAATCTAAATTAAATTGGTAAAAGTTATAGCCTGTCACACTATAATCACCAATTTACGCCCATCAAAACTTATGTCCCTATCTATTTTCACTAACCCAAGGATTACCTTCTCACCCATGAAATTAATGTGATTCTTACTTGTTAAGGAACACATAGCCCTCCCAGGTCTTTATAGATTCATAACAGGTTACACATTCCAATTGGCCAGATTGAAGATGTAAAATGAAGTACGAAATAATGAATCAACAAAAGTATATAATAAGAGAAAGCTTAAACAATTCTAATCCTACAAATGATTACTTCTTATTGCAAGGAGAAAGATAAAGGAAACTGCTTAGAATTCATGGGGATATCACAAAAAAATATAATTTATATTAATAGCTAAGTCTTCATAATAAAACAAAACTTAAACACAAATACAAAGTACTTATCTGAGACTACTCCCCAAGCAAATCCTTTGAAGTTTCTCTGACTTATTACTCTAGTAGACACCCCAAACACACACTACAAAGACTCTCACACACCCACACTCACATCACACACACACATAAGAAGAGAGCCTCATGCTAAAGCCTTCTTCAACAACCCTCCTCCTAAAACCCTTTTTTTGACTAGCCAATTATGTCTTTAAATAAAGCTCTTAAAATCACCAAGTTTCACTTCAAGTACCTCTTTAAAATTCGTCCAAATTCATTATAGAAAAGTCCAAACCGTTTCTGGCGCCTAGGCGCCAACCTTCTAGATGCTTCTTTTAACTACCTAGTGCCTATCCACCATAGGTGCCAGGTCAATTTTTGCTCCTTCACTCCATTTGACCCTATTTTGCTCCATTTTTACTCCTTTTGCTATTAAACTCCATCTCTTGTACCTAAAATAAAAAACACACAAAATACCTACCATTAAAGTACAATATCCTTAAAAATGGGCATAAAAAAATATATATACATATATAGCAAATTTCCCCAAACTTAAATGTTACTTATCCTTAAGTAACTTATCTATTTTTTAAAAGAAATACCTTAACTTAAGGTTGTGGGTTTCATTAAAGATTATTATACTTTTGCCCCATAAATGTGATAGTAAAACTTTTAGAAATATTTTCAATAACTTTGAATAGAACTAAGGTGTAGGGATATCTAGTACTTAAGTTAGGAATTCTGATTTTTTATTCATTTCAATAATTGTAATTTGTCAGACTTAAGAACCTTAGAAGGGTTTAAAGATAAAATTATATGAGAACTCTACTAGTAAGAGTTTGACTAATACATTTAAAGTTACGAATAAGCTCAGAAGTGTAACTAAGTTTCTTCCTTTAAGATAATGCAAGTGAAGCCAATTTTTAATTGGGTATCTCCTCAAGCTTCTCTTCACATATTTTTCTTTTTTACATTTCTCTCTTTTTTTTCTTTTGGTTTTTCTTTTTTTTTCTTTTAGGATCATTTTCAATCATTTCTTTATTTTCTTTTTCATGTATGAATTATTATATTTGAATAGCCTTTAATGATTTTGAACTTCAATATCCTCTTCTTAAAGTTAAGAACTTCTCACATTTCTTAACATGATAATGTGTATTAGAATATAAGTGATTTTGCATAGTCTTAAATTCTTTCATAAATTGTAAATCTAAGATCCTTAGTGTTTCAAAAATATAATTTTTTCTACTCAGAATAGTAAGAGCATAATCCTATGATTTTATACTAAATATTATAACTCGAGTTTTACTCTTAATCACTAAGAATTTTTACTTAAGATTACTATAACATTTTATAGAATAAAAAAAGTAATTTTTAAAAAATAACACCACAGACCATATGTTATGTTAAAATAATTTTTAAATATAGTTTATTTGAGGAAAAATAAAGTATAGTTTTTTGAAAAGTATTTTTCCTCCCCCAAACTTTAATATTAAAATAGTTTAAAACATTATAGTTCAAAACAAGTATGAAGAGAGAAAAATTACAGATTAATTATCTATCACATGGTTCTAAACATAAAAGTAATACTGGTATGATTTATGAAGTAAAGCAATAGGAAAATAGTAGTGCAATGAAAACTAAAAAATATAAACTCACATCAGCAGTACACAAAAATATCACAATGACTAATACAATAAAAATAACTAAAAACCAACAATACCTAGGGAAAGTAAATAAAGACATCTTAATCACTACTCCTCCTCCTCCTCCTCATCATCATCCTGATCCATAACTTTGCTTTGCTCAAATATTTGATAAGAAGAATAAACAGGGAACTCGACACTCTGGTCTCCTCTCAAAAAGCTCACTAGGGACGTATTGAAACTCGCTTCATAGTCATTTTTACGTTTTTAATAATGTTCCAAATGCTCCCAATGTTCTTCATTCTCTTGAAGCTGACAAATTGCTGAAAGTATATCACCTTATTGTATGTGCAACTGCTCCATTATAGTGTCCAAACTAAATGGTGATTATGTCAAAGTACTGGAGGTAGAAGGTCTCGAAGCTGAAGTAGATGGAATATCAAAAGCCCTACCCCGAGATCTTCCTTATAAATCAACATTAGCCTTACAAATAGGCTTTAGTGGCTGTAGTAGCTGTTCTTAAGCCTCATATTTAACCATAGAATGTTTTTAAATAATGAAGGAAGGGTAGCCAAATAATACAAAAGTATTCGCTTTGACAGACATAAAAATAACTTTAAACTCTTTTCCGTTTAACTAGTTTAGAAATGTTTAGCATTTTTTTTAAGCTTCAAAATAGGATTTGTAGGATTTAGTTACTTATTTTTACATATAAACTTATGACCTTATTTCCTAGATAATTGTCTGGAGCTTAAGTAAAGTTTTATTAAGTTCATAAAAAAGTTTTCACCTTCCCCATAGGAACGATACTTTGGGCTTAAAAAGAAAGTCCTTTAATACTTGAAACGATATGTGCACTTTCTTAGTATCCCTAGAGTGTAAAATTAAATTATGGAAAGAAAACGAGAATTACTTAAGAATTAAACATTGCAAAACTACTGCGGCATCAAGTTTTTGGAGTCGTGCTCTAAGATTGAATTTGAAGTAATTGCACACTAAGAAAGCACTCATTGTATTGGGGATAAATTTTTTGACTCCATCCCTTGGCAAGGAAAAAAATAATGAAACTTTTGACTTAGAAATTTTATTTGAACTAAAGACTTATTTTAAGAAAATTGTAGTGTTCTTTACATATATAAGTGCTTGTTTGGGTGTATAAGAAAATATTTTACACTATTTTATTAATTTTATTTTCTAAATTTTTACTTTTATATGCGTAGTTCATGATCTAAAGGTTTGTTACCTCATGATTCTGATTTAGAATAAAATATAATAAAAATTCAAAAAAAAAAAAGAACTCGACAACTTACAATAAATTATGAACACATCACATAATAACATTGATAGTCAAACTGTTAAAAATGAACATCATCATCTACAGAAACCATTAAAGGACTATGTCAACCCTAAGGCAGATGAAATTCATTTGAGTATGAAAACCCTTGCTGTAATGGCTAACTCATTTGAAC